CCACGACCGAATAGCTACACTACAGAATTATCATCAGGAGTGCGTTATGAGGGATCACCCTCGGCACACGATAGTAGCTCTATAGAGTCGAGCAACTAAAGGGGTGTGATGTGATGTGAGATGTCAGGCTCTGGTCCTCGATCACGTTGATCGAGTCGTCGAAGATGAAGCAAGGGCAACAAGCACAAGGTGGGGGTCACTGATGGATCACTAACCAACCTATACTAAGCAGTTTGGGATAAGCAGGTAGGTAACAATAGCAGGTACAAAAGAAGGCTATGCATCAGAATAGGAGCAAACAATAACAGTAGCAAAATCTAATGCGAGCATGAGAGTATAGAATGGGCGATATCGGGATGATCAAAGGGGAGGCTTGCCTGGAAGCTCCGCTGAAAGGGAAGAAGGGGCGTCGTCGACGTAGTCGATCACAGGGTCATCAGCAGCGGTCTCGGGGTCTACCGAAGAGAAGAGGCGGAAGAAACAGTAAATATAATGCAACAGATGCAACACAGATGTATGACGGGGTAACACGCAGGGCTAGGGATGTTCTAACGTGGTGCTACACGATCCCAGTGAAGTGGGATAACATCCGGGAAAGTTTTCCCGGAGTTAGGCATTTCCGAACAGATGAAACGGAGGGGGACGGTTGCATGTTTGCTATGCTAGGGACATGTGGCAGACGAACGGACCGCGTACTCGGATTTGTCTCGTCGTTTTGAGTAACTTTCATGTAAAAAACATTTTCATCCGAGCTACGGTTTAATTTCTATAACTTTTCAAAGTTTAAACAATTTTTTGAAATTATTGTTAAATCTAAATGGAGCTATTGCAACAGCATGACATCATCATGACGTCAGAGGTCAACACTGACCGTTGACTGGTCAAACAAGGCAGTGGGGCCCGTCTGTCATAGGCAAAGATTAATTAAATAGTTTTAATTAGATAACCTAGTTAATTAGGGTAATTAATAGAGTTAATTAGGTTAAACAATTAATTAATTAGTTAATAAATTATATTAATATATTTTTAAACTCCTCTTTTTTTACAGGGGCATGGGGCCCCTTGGTAGTGGCCCAGGGGCCAGCCGGGGCGGGCTAACGGGCACATGCCCGAGAAGGGGCGGACCCGAGCGTGGCGAGGCGCTGGCCACGGGCGCCGGCCGGATCGGTGAGAGGGCGCCAGGCGAGGGGCGAGGTCGCCGAGCGCGGCCTCCGGCGAGGCCAGGCCGTAGAGGGACACTGCGACTGGGGGAGTGGTGCGGCAGAGCACGCGACAGGGGTGGCAGGGCGGACGACAGCGGCAGCAGACAACAGAAGCAGCAGCAGCAGCAGCAAGGCAACAGGGTAGCGGCGGCTGGAGCGCGGGGTGCTCGGGATCGTGGCCGCAGGCGTGCCAGCGGAGAACGGGAGATCTTGGCAGCACGTACGCATCACCACGAGCACGATGACATGCTCGGACAAGCCCATCGGGCACTAGATCGATGGCACGGAGCTCAGCAGCGGCGGCGAAGTTTCGGCAATGGCAGCAGCGGTGTAGACGCGACGAATCGAGCACGCGGGAGAGGGGTTTCTCGGTGGAGCTCACCGTGGATCCGTAGGGAATGGCAGCGGGCTTGATGGAGGCTCGGGATGGCCAGAGACGACGATGAGGGCAGCGATGTTCGAGAAGGGAGACGGGTCGGGGAGGCGTCGATCCGCTTGATTTGGCGACTCCGAGGTCCATCCGGGGCTTGTAGCCGACGTGGGGGAGGTCGGTGGAGCCGCTGGATGCATTGGCGTGGTGAGGGAGGGATCGAGGCCGCGGCAACGGCGTCGACGGCGCTCCGGCAGAGAGGACTGAGAGGGAGAGAGTCGAGCGAGGGGGGAAAATATTTGGGCTGACGAGGACGAGGGGGACACTTATCCCCTCGGCGGCGTGGGTGGCTCGAGTGGACCAGCCTGGCCGACCAGCTGGATGGCCAACTGGGCCACGAGGCCCACTAGGGGGGTTGCCTTTTCTTTTCTTTTCTTTTCTTTTTTTTTGATTTGCCTCTGTTTCCTATTTAAAATAGCTACTGAATTATTTTTGTTAATTGTGGCACTTTGTACAAAAATAGATATGAACAAAGTGAAGTTGCATAAAAAGTTTGGGGTCAGAAGGAGTTGGCTAACCATTTTTAGAAATTGGAAAGGCCAATTTAATTATTGTTGGACCACAAGATAAAAATCCCAGGGGCATTTTGGGAACTCAAATGAGGTTGGTTCAACATGAAAATTATTAGGGGAATTTATAGGATAATGTGAACATTTAAGTTTTCATGTCTGACAAAATTTGAATTTTGACTTTAAACTCGGTTTTGAATTTGAATCCGAACAGTGATTTGGATCAAGTGGGGATTAGCAACAGTAATGTGATGACATGGCACCATTAATAGGGGTTTACTGTAGCTTAATTATCCGGGCGTCACAATTGTTTAGCTAGCTCATGGTACTTTGGAATATCCCTCTCCTTAGTGTAAACATATTGAGACTTGCCAATTGAATGCCAAACTGCTTCATCGTAAAATTAAAGGACGGGGTATTCATTTGGTGGTGAACAATGAATATCTTCTCATGAACTTGATAATTTGGATGCACTATTTGAGTATCATTTTGTTGACGTGGATGAGACGGAAGACTAGAGCAAATCCCAATTGAGCTTGAGGATATATTGGTTCTAGCAAGGACTTCTTCCTGGTCCTGGTATAGATATACAGATAGAAAATGAAGGTTTTGTCGTGCACCTCTAGTATGGGGATTTTAGTTTTTTCTTAAGCTCTTTCAAGACACTCCCACGTACTTATGTTGCGTTAAGTCCTTCCAGATGGAGGTTAAGATACGTGTCAAGTTAAACCCCATCACACTAGTCCCCAAACTTAGCGCTTGTGGACCATTGATCTTAGTTGCATCCACCAAACTGAAATTGGTTCCTTTGTAGAAGGGGAGGAAAAAAGCCATCCAGTCCTTCCCAGGCTGTGGTAGCTGTCATTTTTAGAGGGGTGCGAGAGCACACAAAAGAACAGAACAACCCGTGAGAAGAGAGGAGGAAGAAGGAAAGGTGATTCTGTCCAAATTTGGTTGGAGGCTTGAACATGCTTGGATTAGGACCAAACTTAGTGAGCTTGTTTCTTAATTTAAGGAATTCGATCTGGTTAGATGATTTGAGCATTGGGTTAGTAGAGCATTAGACTTAGGAGTAGTTATCTCAATTTGGGTTAGAACAGTTCCAACACATACCAGTTTTTATAGATGAATAAATTGGTTAGGAAAACAGTGCAATTGAGCTAACATTCGGTCAGTATACTAGGAACTCGTGTGCTTCCTTGTGTACCAAAATTTCATGTTGTTTGGTTTAGCGGTTTAAGAGCAGCTAACAGCTTACCGAAGGGGACATAAACTATACATGCTAACTGTGCTTTATGGTTATCTTGCCTTTCGTGGTTGTTGTTGTTGCTAGTCGGTGAAGTTCCAAGTGTGTTGTAAATCCTTGGGGGTTCTAGAGAAGCCTATATACACATCATTCTCATACCGGAGTTGTGTTGATCGGTTGGTCCACGGCCATGGTTATTAACTCCTCAAGTTGAGGAGGTCTTTCCATGTCAAATCCTATGTCATATGTGCATGTTGTTTTTGTTTGTTTCACTAATATTTGTTGGTTGAAACTGTCCTTGAAGTTCACTATGGATCATGTGATATGTGTATTGTACTATTGTGTTTGCCCTCTTATTCCCCAACAAGCTCTTGAGAGGTAGGAGGAGAACCCAACCCTTAACCGTCCATTGATGAAGGATGATTTTGACTACCTAATAGATCATCATAGAAACATCTGAGGAAACAAATTTGACGCAGTTTGTATTGGTCCTACAGGATCGTTCATATCATCCTATACACAGGTAACAATAATATAGCCATTCCACCGCAAAAATAAATAAATAGCCATTGGGTCTTTTTTAGGGAATATTAGCCATTGTATCTTAAGAAACTCACAGCAGAAAATGTGAACGGAGCTTGAGCTACAGGGAGCCCGTTTTAAAAATTCAAATTTTCCTGGCACAATTTTTTTGAATTATTTTTGTGAACACACATACACATGTATATTATGTATGTGCAAATTTTCACAACATTATACTTTCACACATGGCAGACAGGAAAAGGACAAATACACATTTCCAAAATGAACATTTTTTTGTGTTGTTGGGGCGGAATTTTTATTTGAATTCTACGAATCACAATATTTTTTCAACGAAATTTCACAGGTTCGTGCGGAATACATATAAGTTTCCATGGATATTTTTTTGGATTTTGTTTTGAAAGCTTTAAGTATGTTTTTTTATTCTTAAAATACGGAGCTCCGTCAAACAAAAGTCTACACCCAACTGACAGCCCATATCAATCCCCGCAAAAAAAAAGAAAAGAAAAAAGAGCTCATATATTCTTTTGTGCGAAATAAAAAGTGCTCATATCTTTCTGAAGCATCTTACATTTGTACGACGTAATAGGAATATTAGTCACTGGATCATAATAACAAACTAATGGCACATACTAATCTGAAGCATCTTAAAGGTTCTCTTTCTTAAAGTGTCATAGGATAATGCTCAGATAAAAAAAAGATCTTTCTTCTCTGTGTTGATCTTACTGTGACTGCATCAAAACGACCAATAATATTACAAATGTGGAACACGACACTGACCAATACTCCTCAGTCTAATGCTAAACTATCGTGGTTTAAAAATATTGTGATTTGTAAATAATATCTCACACATGGCGTAAATAATACTCCCTCCGTCCGAAAATACGTATCATCAAAATGGATAGAAAGAGATGTATCTGAAACCAAAATACGTCTAGATACACCCTCTTTTATCTATTTTGATGATAAGTATTTCCGGACGAAGGGAGTAGTAGCCAGGCAGCTCACAAGAAACACATCTCTGAATCGCCAGGCAGCTAGTGCTTCGGACCAGTGGCCGATAACCCGAGAACTCACACGGTGGACACGGCGTAGACCGCAGCGGCCGAGAGCGCGAACACCAGACGACCGGCCGTGCCCTGGAGCGGCGACCCACCGCTCCCCTGCAAGTACGCCGTCGGTGTCGTCTTCGATCCCGAGCCAGCGCCCGGAGCACTGCCGCCTCCAGCTGCAAGCAAAAAGGACATGTCCTTCGTCAGCGACCCAGGGAGCAGAGTCGCAAAAAAGAAAAACAGGGAGCAACAGCAGTAAAATAAACGTGCAGTGATCCTCTCTTATAAGCTGCTGTCGAACACTTACCGCCGTTGCACTTGCTCGCCGGCGGGGTCTGCACGCTGCACGCGTTGGGGAGCTCCAGCGCGCGCGTCTTGTTGATGGTCATGCCGCCCAGCGACGACGACTCGCCGCCGAGGGCGCTGCAGAGGCACTGCGGCTGGGACTGCACGACGGAGCCGAGCTGCGAGCAGCAGGACTTGGTCGGCGCTGTGTCGTTGCCGCTGATGTAGTTCATGCACGGGTACAGGCCGACCAGCGCCGTCGTACAACCGGACTGCGCCGACGCCGACGACACCAGCAGCGCCAGTGCCACCGCCGCGGCCAGGAGGATGCTGCTGTTGCTGGACGTGGCTGCCACCGCTCTCGCTCTCGCCGCCATTGATGGACGTGTCTTCTCCCTTGGTTTGATAGTCAAAACAAGAGGCTTTTTCTTGGCTTGGGGATGCTTGGAGCTAGATGCTGCTTCCTTACGCTGATCAGGCTGTGTGCTTATGCTTTTGACCCTCCAGTTGTGTGACTTTATATAAAACAGTTTTTGTTTGGGGAGGTGGAATTAGTTGGACATGTTGGTGAGCTACATGCCCCTACTTCCTACTCTTGGCACGAAATGATTTCTTTCTCTGAGTTTCAGCAGTAGCACATACTCCCTCCGTTCCAGAATATAGCATGCCCGCGCTTTTCGATGTTTAACTTTGACCATAAACTTAACCAACGAGACAGACTGCGGTGGGAGCAAAAATTATATAATTGAAAATTTCTTTTGAATACGAATTCACTGGTATAATTTTCGCTCCAGTCGCAGTCGGTCTCGTTGGTTAAATTTATGGTCAAAGTTGAAGCGTGAAAACCGAGGACGCACTATATTTTGAAACGAATGAAGTACTATTTACTCTTCAGAATTATATTATCATCTTATCCACGTGGCTGCTAAAATAGTTGGTGTTAGTAGTTGAACCAGGTGTTGGTCAACACCGTCTAGATGACGCCAACAACTGTATTGAGTGTCACCGTATGGATTTTATTGGTTGCCTCTTGTAAAAAAAAATGATTCCCGAAAAGGACAGTACTCCCTCCGGTCCTTTTTACTCTGCACATTGGATTTGCCGAAAGTCAAACTTAACTAAGTTTGACCAAATTTATATTAAAAATTATTAGCATCTATGATATCTAATAAATATAATATGAAAATATATTCCGAAATGAATCTAATGATGTTGGTGTTGTTATGTAAATGTCAATAATTTTTTATATAAACTTGGTTAAAGTTGGATGAGTTTGACTTCAGACAAACCTAATATGCAGAGTAAAAAGGACCGGAGGGAGTAACTTGGTTTGTCATCCTCACCCCAAAGGATCTGACACTGTATAAGTACTTGGAGGGGAAATATTTTGAAATTGTGAGCACATTTTTTTAATAAAGGACGCTTTTATTAGATTAAAATGTAGCATCAAACGGATACAAAATATGATGAGTGATATCAGGCCTCTGCATAGCTAAGATGCACATAACCAAAACTAATAGTTCGAGACTAGTAAAAAGCGACATATTGACAACCGTAATGTCATATCGAACCGACATTATGCCTATGTCGGAGGAGGTGGTGCGTTGATCTAGAGATTATGTTGTCATCCATGTTGGGTAAAAACCTCCCTGGCCATTCACTCCAATCGTATACCCACCACTAGAATAACGGGTTGGTACTCCATTCGATGTAGCGTAGACCAACATGCAAAGTCAATGAATGCGAGATAACCGACCGATTGACCCCTTTCTTTTATCGTTTGTCTCAATTACACACTGAATTAGGTCAATGGAAAATGCAACGTGTAGATGAAGATGCTATTGGAAAAGATTTTTGATGACTTGTCAGAGTAGGAGGCAGAAGTTGATGACGACTTTTAGATGGGATTGGTCTTGATAATGCAAGAGGAAGAGGGGAAGAAGAAACAACTTGGTTCTCAATTCGAACCCTTGTCGCATCTATCGCAAAAAAAAATCAGGGATTACTATGTATAGAATTTGGTCTATTTCAAAAAACCTTTTCAGGCGGTGATTCCAGATGCACATTGATCTATTTGTGTGTGTTGCACAAGATATTTAGAGGCCTAATCCTTGGTTCATGTTGCGAATGGATGTAGAGAAATCAGTGCATATCCCTTGATGAAGTGCACCACGACAACTTGAGTGCTTGTATATGGAGTGGCCGCCAACATTATTGATGAGTACATTCGCATTGGGAAAGAAACCATCCTCAAGTGTTTGAACTAACCAGAGTACTTGAAAGTACAAAATGATGAAGACATTCTGAGTTATGGCTATAGGTGAAACTATAGACTGGACATAGATGCTTGGATCCATTTATTTTTATGAATTGGACATGAAAGCATTGTGTCATGCCGCATGGAATGAGTAGTATGGAGGGCACTTTCATCATCGAACCATCATTTCTCGAAACAGTTGCATCGGAGGATATATAGATTTGACATTCATACTGTAAAAGGACAAGATGTGGGCTATGCAATCGCAATGGATTAATCGGTGCAGCAGGCACGTATATATAAGTACAGAGGTGGACCACAACCTCAACTATACAGAGGAAACAGGAGGTGGGCCCTACACACAAATATACACGTACACAATATACTCAACACCCCCCCTCCCCCCCGCAGTCGAAGCGGCGCCAGTGACGCAAAGACTGGAATGAAACTCCTCGAAGGTAGAAGTCGGCAATCCCTTCATCATCACATCGGCGAACTGTTGTGCAGTCGGCACATGGAGAACCCGAATGCGTCCAAGAGCCACCTGCTCACGCACAAAATGAATGTCCAGCTCAATGTGCTTAGTCCGGCGATGATGAACGAGGTTGGCGGAGAGGTACACCGTTGAAACATTGTTGCAGTAGACAACCGTAGCCTGGGAGACATCGTGATGCAGCTCCTGAAGTAACTGTCGTAGCCAGGTGCACTCAGCAACTGCATTGGCCACAGCTCGGTACTCAGCTTCCACGCTGGAGCGCGAAACCGTGGGTTGTCGCTTGGACGACCACGAGACGAGTGAAGGACCGAGGTAGACGTAGTAGCCAGAGGTGGACCGACGAGTATCTGGGCAGCCAGCCCAGTCTGCATCGGAGTAGGCCATCATCTCCAGAGAAGTGGACGCCGTGAGTGTCAGCCCTAGAGTCATCGTGCCACGGATGTAACGAAGGATCCGCTTCAGGAGAGTCCAATGGGAGTCACGTGGGGCGTGCATGTGGAGACACACCTGCTGAACAGCATACTGAAGATCCGGTCTGGTGAGAGTCAAATACTGAAGAGCACCGACGATGGACCGGTAGAAAGGAGCATCCGATGCTGGTGAGCCCTCAAGAGCAGAAACCTTGGCTTTCGTGTCAACAGGAGTAGCAACCGGGTGACAGTTGAGCATGCCAGCACGCTCAAGGAGCTCGTGCGCATACTTCTGCTGATGAAGAAAGAAACCGTCCGGGCGCCGAACGACCTTAATACCAAGGAAATAATGGAGAGCACCCAAGTCCTTGATGGCAAACTCGTCACGCAGCCGGAGAGTAATCTGCTGAAGAAGAGCTGCGGAGGAGGCCGTCAGGATGATGTCGTCGACGTAAAGGAGCAAATATGCAGTCGTGTCACCGTGGAGATAGACGAACAGTGAAGCGTCTGAGCGAGTGATGCTGAAGCCCAGTGTCTGAAGAAACCCGGCGATCCGCTGGTACTAGGCGCGGGGTGCCTGCTTGAGCCCATAGAGAGAGCGGGACAGCAGACACACATGGCCAGGAAGTGAGGCGTCGACGAAACCGGTGGGTTGCTCACAATACACCTGCTCCGCAAGATGACCGTGGAGAAAGGCGTTGGAGACATCCATCTGATGAACAGGCCAGCCTTGGGACACTGCGAGCTGGAGGACGGTGCGGATCGTGCCCGGTTTCACAACCGGGGCAAACGTCTCAGTGAAGTCCACTCCAGCGCGCTGGCGGAAACCGCGGACCACCCAACGAGCCTTGTAGCGCTCGAGAGTACCATCCGAGCGGGTCTTATGGTGAAAGACCCACTTGCCGGTGATGACGTTAGCGCGACGAGGTCGGGGAACCAGTGTCCACGTGCAGTTCCGTTGAAGAGCATCGAACTCTTCCTACATCGCCGCAAGCCAGTGAGGATCACAAAGGGCGGCGCGAGCGAACGCGGGAATAGGCGACGGATCCACGGTGGAGGCGGCGAGGACGTACTCGTCGCTCGAGTACCGAAGGCTCGGACGATGAACGCCGGTACGAGCTCGTGTGACTGGGCCAGGCGGCGCCGTCGGAGCCACCGGCGAGGCAGCCGGCGAGGCGATTGGTGTCGGGGCCGGCGAGTCAGCCGGCGTCGGAGCCGGCGAGGAGGCCAGCGTCGGGGCCGGCAAGGTGGCTGGTGTCGGGGTCGGCGAGACGGCTGGCGTCGAGGCGGCTGAAGAAGCGGCCGAGCCAGCAGCGCCCGATCCCGCGGCGCCCGAGTCGGGGCGGCGGGTGAAGGGGGGCGCCAGCTGCGCCGTCAGAGTCGGCTGAGGAGGCTGAGGGGGCGGGCGCCGGCGTGAGGGGGCGGGCACCGGCGTGAGGGCGCGAGGACCGCCAAAGCCCGGAGGTGGTCCACGGGCCGAACGGGACCGTCCACCTGACGAAGTCGTCGAAGGGCCGCCGGTGGCCGGCGGTGACGAGACGACAAGAGGTACCTGCTGCTGAAACGGAAACACCATTTCATCAAAGTAAACGTGTCGGGAGGTGAAAACATGATGGGAGATGGGATCATAGCAGCGATAGCCCTTAGTGTTAGGTGGGTAGCCGAGAAAGATGCAGGCGACGGAGCGGGGTGCAAGCTTATGAGGCGCAGTAGCGGCGATGCTAGGGTAGAAAAGGCAGCCGAAGATGCGAAGTCCATCATAAGAGGGGGTGCACCGAAAAGAAGATGATGAGGTGTAAAGTTCCCGCGAGTACGACATGGGCGGATGTTGATGAGGAGTGAAGCGGTGGCGAGAGCGTCAGGCCAAAAGAACGGAGGCACATTGGCATGAAAGAGAAGAGTCCTAACGCAGTCATTGAGAGTGCGAAGGATGCGCTCAGCATGACCGTTCTGTTGCGAGGTGTACGGGCAAGTGAGATGAAAGATCATGCCATGTGTGGTGAGAAGATTACGAACGACGAGGTTGTCAAACTCCTTCCCGTTGTCTGTCTGCAACGCGAGAATGGGACGACCAAACTGTGTGAGAACATAAGAGTAGAAGGCGGCGAGAGTGGATATCACATCCGACTTGCGGCGCAAAGGGAAGGTCCACACATAATGCGAAAAATCGTCAAGTATGACAAGATAATAAAGAAAGCCCGTATTACTGGCAAC